GAGAAATGGTTTCCCGGGTTGTTAAACGGTCTAAAACCAATCTCAATCGAAAGAAGGTTTCCAGAAGGAGTAAAGTGTTCGCCAAAAGGCAAATAAAGTTCTGTCCACACTGAAGAAAGTTTCAAGTATTTCAAAAGGGAAATTGACCTTTGAACCTTTTGTTCGTAGAACTAAAAAAATAGCCGTACTGAAGACCTACAAGAAGCAAAAAGTTCCAGATAAAAACGCTGTCCAGAACGTGGCCACGTGTTTATTTTTTGGAATACATATAAAAATTCAAAACAGAATAAGTAAAAAACAATTTCCAAAGAAACCCTTAGTTGGAGAGCCGTCTTCACTTGTGGCAAAAGAAGCAGCCCAGCTCTGACCTCGAAGACAATCAACATTAATAACCATGTTGTGAAGAAATGCCCACAGCAGATGTGAGCGTGTCAGACACTATCGTAAAAACGGGAACTTTTCATAAAAAAATATACAAGTTTTTAGACTTTTATGTAAATTAGAAGTTTAAGAAAAGTATATGTATGTCTTTCACGCGCAAAATCTGTATGTATATCCTCTTTGAATCTGGATGTATATCCCATTTAAAAAAAAAATGGACCTCCGATCAGTTTCGACCGGAAGTTTGTAATACGACTAAAGGATAGAGCATCCCCGACTTGGTAGTTTGCAAATTTGCGTTTTCTGATAAAATGATTTTCCTCCATTTTATAAGGGGTATATATTACTACCATCATCACCGACATAAGACACATCAACGTGACCGTAATTTAAGAATTTTTTTACTATATAAATTTCCACAACGTTTTTGCTTAAATAGTAGTAGTAAAAGTACACTCGGTAACAGTGCTATGGTGATAAGAGTTACACATATGTATATATTTTTAACTACATTAATTAAAGCAACAATTGAAAACATAAGACTACACATCGAAATTTAAATATTAAAACAATGCGGATACTTTATAATACATATTTGTTTCTATAAATATCATTCGTCTGAAAAGAATTAATATAACGCTCTTAATGTATTCAAATTCGCTAACTGAAATCTATAATTTCTTGCAAGTAAGGGAGTTAAAAATATCGCAATAAATAAGCCTACAAATTACAAGTGATGATGCCAGGAAACGATTTTAGTACGTTCATAAATGTATATATAGAAGGCTGAACGATGGTGGAACATTGACCTATCACGGCAGCCAGTTCGAAAACACCCTATTTAAGAAAACTTCTCAAGAAAGCACTACTTCAAAATTTGAATGAATTTTATTTCGAAAAGCACCGTATCTGAGAATGTATTGAAAATGTGCTGAGAAAGGGCGTTTTTGAATCGGCAGTTGGGATAGAGCGTTCTCGAAATGTTTTTCGAGATAGGCCGTTTTCCATCTGGCTGCCAAGATATGTAGGTCGATCTTCCATTCAGCAGTCGATATATGTATGTATGTATCTACTTATGAAGGTTTAACTTATGTATGTAGTATATTTTCAGTTTTAGTTCAAGTTTAGTGAATAAGGGTTTGGTTGGCGCGAAAAATACATGATACGAAATTTACATTAAAAGTCTTTAAGATATACTGCATTCTTGGAATACTCGAACTACATTGTATTCCAATATAAAGTTGGTGATAATGCAGTTACAAAAAAAAATTTATAAACGCGTAATAAAAGAATGACTGAGGTATGCAAATTGAAACGACAAATAAACGACACGAAAATAATGATCCATATTACGAAAATCCGGAAAATGTGTAATAAAATTGGAATAGGTTTACTTGAAATTTTCAATTCTATTATAATAATTATTATAACTCGTGGTATACCAGGTATTTTTGCGGTTAGCAGCAAACTTAGTAACTTTGTTTTATATTGACTATAAATTCTATATGCTTATGATTTTTAGTTGGTGCAATTGTGTTAAAAATTATTTATGTAAGTATATTGTATTTTTTAGTAGATCATGAAAACGCCTAAAATAAAAGGGTAACAGACTAATGATTTCAAAACAAAAATGTGTTTGACCCTGATTTCCAGAAAAGTGTTACAAAAAAGCATTGCCTTTGTACATTACAGCAATCTTAAATATAAGCGAATAAATAATTAGCTGTGACTCGAAAAATGTTTCAGCAATATATTTTGTTTTTATACGGGAATAGCAAGAAAATTTAGAAAAGTTTTTGTCACAAAAACGTGTTTGCCGCCACACATAGCTTTAAATGCGACAATTGTTTCAATGTTAAAAGGAAGAGTGTAAAAAAATATATTTTTTTGTTGAGACCAGTAACCAGTTAAAATTAAATTTAAATTGCAAAAATAAAAAATACTAATTTTTTTTAAATTAAAGTGTAATTTAGTAAGCGCGTGTCACATGCAACTACATAGACTCTTCTTTCAGTGTAGTTAAAACATGTACAGTATTAATTCAAAAGTTGTGTTTTGATGTATGTACGTACAGCCCTCGACAAAACAATAGCACCTCAACACTTATCTTTATCTAACAAATACCAGATTTTTTTTTCAAAAATTGTAAAAATTCGACAAATTTTTCATCCCAATTCCAAGCATTTTAATTTTAATTTCTAGAATAATTTTTGTTATGCAGTTTTAAAGCTTATTAAATTTTAGTAAAATAAAGTGCAAGTTTGAAGTTGCTAAAAAATTCGGGATGAAAAGTTTGTGCAATTTTATAATAGATAGATTTTTGTTAGATAAGGTGCTGGACTTTAATAAAAAATTAAGGAACTTTAAAAAAAGTAAAAGAAAAATAGTCAAAACTGGTACAAATGTTGATGTGGTATTTTTGTCAAAAAAATTGTATCCATTGTCATTACTTTGAGAGGCGATAGAGCTATAAAAGTTTGTAAATTAATGACTGGGCATAAAAGAGCTGCAGTCAGTTATTAAAGATTTTTGCAAGTTGGAATAAATGGTGGAGAATAATTTCGCGGCAACAACACGACTTCTAAAAACACTGGATAAGGGCCACTGGCCCACCTAAATAATTCATATCGATAATATTAACTTTCATAAATACAACAAATTCCTTTTTATTATTTTTAGTTCGAATTTCGCAGTAATCATGTTTTAAAAAAGTTACATGTTGATACATAAAATATCGGGTATAGCTTGGAAACCATCAGCAACCAGGTGTTAATTCACCTGATTTATTTTGTAATGTTTGCGGAAAATATACTCCAAAGAATAATAGAAAGCGTTTTCGACATACATACTTCAAAAAGTGCTACCGAGATTGTTTCAAAATGGGAATTAAAAATATTGACAAATATTGGCTACTGCACTATTGTTGTATAACGCGCCATACAGATTTGCTTGATTGGTTTCATGGAAAAACTTCTACGGTAAAATTTTTCCAGCCAGTCGTTTGGCGAGAATCCACGAACCACGTTACCGATTGTTATTTCTGTACAATACCCTGACGCTAGTTCTCTTCACAAGCCCATTCTCTTTTCTGAAAAACCGTCAGCCAACAAAGCCAAGGAACCATCTTCATCTCCAAGCTTGGAACCTTCTTATGAACTTCATTCGGACTTTTATCCCGACGAAAATGACAAAACGCCTTCACTAATAAATCAGGAGCGCCTCGCTGAACTTATACGGGATATAGCCATCACACTTACGTCGATTGTTTTTCTAAGGATGACGGTTTAATTTACTTAGTAACATTGACAACCCTATGTCTAAGTTATGTCAAGTACATGATCCTACTGATTGGAGATTGTTCAGATTGCACTCTGAAATATTCCGCAGTAATAGTTGGCCAAACGTTTCTAGCCTCACACTGCAAGGTTTTGCATTCACAAAGACGGTGTTCAACAACTATCTCCTTGCCGATCTTTTCAGCATCCGCTATCTCATTCCCGGTCTCATGTTTGTGTAATTTACCAGCAATTGAAATTGAGGCCTCCACATTTTTGCAAATTAACTGAGGAAGAGGATAGCGCCTAAATTTCCGCATGACCGTATGAGAAAATGTCCCTCTGGGATCTCGTTTAAAATTGGGCTACTCCATGAAAATATCTGTACCTAGCAATACTTAAGTTAGAACAAATAATTCTCCACGAAATGTAAAATTATATGGAAATGCGATATCTGTGAGTTCAATTAAAAAAAAAATGTCTATTTCTCATAAAAATTGTATCCGGTATTGCAAATTTCGCCACTAGAACCATATGTTTCGATCATGCAAACTCGATTAATTTGTAAACGGTTTTTCGCATCGATCTTCTTTGTCGATTTGAATCAATCTAAAAATCGATTGTTTTTTTTCGATCTGGCATCTTTATTTAGAAAGTCTTTTTTCAATGCATGTATGTACTCAAAGCTGGAGAGAATCCTGCACTAGTGAAAAACCTCTGCCCAAATAAGTGCATAAATGCATATAAAGGCATATAGTTACTCTCATTTTTGTTGCTGGTATTTCCGACAGGGTAGGAGTGTGATGTAATGTGGAACGATTTTCTGTCGAACGAAAAATGACACTGAAGATGGCACAACGCCGAAACCGGTTTGTCTCCAAACCAAATTTGACAAGGGATGACGGAAAATCGTTCCACATTACATCGCATATAGTTACAATCTTTTATAGCTCAGAACATAAAATAAGGGAAGAAATTGCTCGTTAAGCTACAGATAAACCAAAAATAGTACTGTTACTTCTACTTATTCTAACTTTGTTTTAGTTTAAAAATGTCTATGTATTTATGTATGTAGATGTGTTAAAAAATATGATGGACTCTTATATTAAGCAGAAAAGAGTAATGTCAGCGTTTTTTTTTCTCTTGAATTATTTTCATCTTTTATTTCTTCTGTTTAACTATGTAAATGTATATAAATGTAAATATGTATATATTTATGTAATATGTAGGAATGTAATATTTACTAGATGTATAGTTTGGTTTTAGTACTACAAACACATATATATTTATGCAATTGGTTATTTTTTTTTATTGTTTTTGTGATTGATTTTTAAAATAGACTACCTCTTTCCATGTTCTCTTTTCAGTTCGCCGCCGTATTTATTGCCACTACCGACGAGCTCTATTATTTCCGGTATACTGCTGGCAAACATTGCCTAGAATTTCATTTGATTTATTTTATGTGTGTATTCGATAAAGAAAAAAAAGTATCTTTTAGTGCTTAAGTAGTTTTGTATAAAAATATGTGAGAAATACAGATATGTATCTCCACTAAGTTGAGTCCTAAATTCGCGGTAATAACTAGCGGCGCGAAAATGGTACTTTTACTATGCGAAGTAAAAAGCATTTTGAAAATTTTGGTATTGATTACTAGAAACCTATACACCTTTGAATACCTGTTTTTAATAAAAATCTATTAAGTATTTTTTACAGTAATTTTGTAATGATGCTGTAATACTTTGGCTCAGTTGCTCAAAAAGCAACAAGATTTCATGAATGCATAATTTTAGGCATAATATGCGATTTAGTCGATTACGGTCAAAACGAGGCCGAAGGAAAAAATGTTAATTTATTTAGTAGTTGCTTTTCGGCAGCAGTACAATTTACAGGTTTCGCATGATTTTACAGGATTTACGCGGAAACGCTGTTTTCATAATTAACACACCTTGTGTATCGTACTGCGCTGATGGGATACAACTATTACAAAGAACTCTCATAGTCACCCACAGAAGAAGGCAAACTTTTCTTCTTTTAAAGAGAGAAATGCTGATTGACAGAATGGAGAGGGGCTTCATGCTTCGGTCTTCCAGGCTGAGGTATTTGCAAGGAGAGGGGGACAGCCAAACTGCACTTAACTACTTCCAAGCTAGTTCGGCAATGCAAGTTTCGACTAAATTTTGTTGGCAAACATAACGAGTTGGCTCAGACCAGATATTCCTCGGACCTACCTTCGCCCATCGAAGCCACTATCAGAAAGTGGATGAATACTTCGCTCAGCAATGATTGGAAGGCATCGAAGGGCTGGAGGTGGGCAAATCTTATGTTGCCTTCAATTTTAGAAGGTCTTTTACTCTCACCGAGAAGACGAGACTGCAGAAAACTTGTTAGACTGCTGACTGGTCACTGCACGTGACGCTTACCCCTGACTGTGATAGGCGTATATGACAAGTCCATTTTCCCATCCTGCCTTGAAGAGGGCGAGACGGTGGAACAATGTTGAGTTTAATGGCTGACTGAAGTCAGCAACGCCAATTCAACATCGTATCGCCATAACTATAAACGAGGTACTCCAAAAAAAAAGGTTCTCCAAGTTCACTTAAATCATAGTTCAATGTAAAGGAAAATGTTGCGGCGGATAAGACCATTTTAATTTGATTACGATCACGGCGAACTTTTCAAGTACTATAACTTAAAGGATTAGACCTTGCATGTACGTACCCTTAATGGGAAAGGTGACCTGCCCGACTAGTTGATGTCCTCGTGAAGACAAAGGCTAACATCACCGCCAAGGCAAAGCGCCGAGTAAGAGAGCGCAAATTTGTTGTCGGATTTGTGGTGGGAGAGAGACTTCGTCGCCGAGTGCTATCGTTCGTTTGCACCCACGCACCGACGGAAGAGAAGGATTGAGCTCGCCAAGTAGTTGGGTGCGAAAAAGTTCCGCGATCGCTTTTGTAGAACCGGAAACTGTTTGTATTCTCCGCCAGTTTTCTTTGAAATATTAAACCTTTCAATTGGTAAACTCAGAATGCAGTAAATACTGAAGCCGCTATGGAGAGTCAGGAGAGGCCAGGCTCTTTGGACATAATTTAGATGAAAAGAATAAAAAAACGTTTAAATATATTGATATTTCGAATTTTTGAACATTTCGCTTGATACTTTTTGAGCAAACGAGCTTGCGAGTACGACAACTTAAATACGTATTCTTGTGGGCTGCTTAAAAAAAATTAAAAAAAAAAACGCATTGTATTGAAAATGTGCATGAACGAAATTTGCTAAATAGGAATATTTTTAATTTGTGTTACTTAAGTAGAAAGCAAACTGAATTGCATGCTTTTGAACAACGAATATATTAAAGAAGTATTAATCACTACCAAAGAAAAATTTAATGAAACTAAATTTAATAAAAAAGAAGTATTTCAAAATAATGTGAAATCTAAAAATTTTGGATATTTGTGAAATTTCGACGTCATATGTCGAAGCGTGGAATAGAAGAGCAGCGAAAGCATGGATTAAAATTAAACCTGTGCATAAATATGGTTAAATTACATTGGATTTTATGTTGGAGTTGCTGGATTTTCACTGGGTATTAAATGAGAAGAATTGTAATGACAATTTTAAGTTTATTTCCACATGAGAGTATTTTAATGATACAAATTTGTTTGACACTTCAACGCCCAGTGGGAAAACAGCACAAGATTTTAAGATTCATAGTTAAACTTTTACATCTTCTCTATTAAATATTTTTTTTTTTGGCTTTTTCTAATTTAGAATTTCCAAAACTGTATTTCACTAAAAATTCGCGCCAAAAGTCTCGGGGTCAAAGTCAGATAAGTAACAATAACAAAACTTGTGTACTTATTTTGAGGGGTCTCGCATTGAAAATACTGGAAAAGCTTAAAGGGAGGGGAATATGTTTTGGTAATCGGTGATCGCTATTGAATGTGTGGATGTATACATATTTATAAGCTAAACTGTTAATATGCCATAACAAGAAAACGATCATAAAAAATATCATAACTGTTGGCACTAATAAATTTTTACATACAAAAAAAATTTTTTATTTTTTCATTATTTTGATGGTTAAGCATTTGTAAGCTAATTATTAAAGAAAAATAATTTATTAGTTTAATTAAAATTTGTATCTAGAACAATTTAAAAAATTCCATTCCATTCACACCACTACGATTGTTTTAATTTTGTAGGTTTCTGTCTTCTCATATATATATATATAAATTTTTTTTTTTTTTAAGATTATGTAGTACTAGGCCAATTGTCTCCAAGGGATACAGTAATTTAGAGGTTTTCAATGGGATATGGGTAAACCATTCAACATTCTGCTGCTGCCATGCTAACCAAAAAATATTGTGTCAATAACAAGAGAGCCCACTGCTACCAAGCGCATTTTATATTGGGTATACCTAAAGAAAAGCTTTACGTTTAAGGTCTCACTTGAATTTTAAGCCACTATATGCACTATATGTAAATATAATGAGTACTGTTACTGCGGCAACGCTTCAATTGTGGAAGAAAGCAGAGGTGGGGGCGAAGTTCTTACATTATTATTGATTTATGGTGAATTTGTGATGTTTTTGTTTTGCTAAATTGTTACCTCGTTTCAATATTTAAATAATACGCGTGTATATTTTTGAATTTTTCCTTTCAACTCACAACGCTCTCTGGTAGCCTGATATTTCAAAAAAAAAAGCGTTCTCAATTGATTCACAACTTGTTTTATTTAAAAATTTTCGGTTTTAATTTTATTTAGTTCTTCGTTTTTTTGCTTCACCTTCAAATTTTTTGATTTATCTATTTTTTTTTTTTCAAATTGTCAAATATTTTTTAAAGCAGTGTATATATGTATATGTGTGTTTAAGTAAATTGTAACTTACCAAGCCGACGAGTAGAAAGAACACAAGGAATGTTCTTCCCAATACAGTCTCACAGTAAACGTCACCATATCCTACCGTTGACATGGTCACAATTAGGAAATAGACACAGGTCCAATAGGATAATCGATGAGCATTATTAAAATCCAGCGGATCGCCAGAGTTCTCCAGCTAAATTTTAAATAAATGCAGCAATACAAGAAAAAAAAAACGTAACATAACATAGACACATTGTAAACGCAAATACAAGTATGGCCCTCATTACAGATTGTAACAGTGTTCGTTTTGGTGCTGTCTTGAAGAGGAATGAAATGTCACACAGCTCTTAAGAGCGAGAGCAACTTACAGCGATATTGGCATAGTTCAGAGGAAGTCTCTACTATCTCTTATGCTGGCGACTTCTCGACAATGGCATCCGGGAATGGACTCGTGCTTGAAACCACTCCGAACTTTCTCAATTCTTCGCTGCAAGCAGCCTAACCCTCCCCCCTACGAAATCCTCGGCAACCCCTTTTACCACCTGTACGAAGAAGGGCAGACTACAGCTTGGCATTCACGGCGACGGCGAACCAATTCCGTTTGTGAATAACCCAAAAATACTTGGAGTTACTTTCGATAGTACGACCAGTCTTAAATACTCCCTATCAAGCTGCACAACACAATACTTTCTAAGCAGTTACTAGTAGAAGCCAATTTCATGTCGGTTGTCATGTGGGCTGTTTTGCATTTGAAGGGACACTTGTCAATTCTGGCAACTATATTGAAAGTCTACTTAATTGAAAGATACGTTTTTTCCTCGTTTTGTCTTTTAGCAATAAGTTTTATAAAAATAAAATTTAATTAAAAAAAGAAATATATATTATAATAGAAAAATGTATTTAAAAATAAAAGGAAATGTATTAGAAAAGAGATAAATTAACAAAATAAGTTTCTAAGAAATATATGGGATTAAAAAAATGTTTAGTTTTTAAACAAAATCCAAATTAAAAGCAAATTAAATTAAAATAAATAAAATAAGTCTCTAAAATTTATATGAAATTAGAAAAAAAAAATCTTTTTCAAACAATATAATCTTAAAAATTAATTTTAAAAAATTTATATAAAAAAGAAAATGAAATAAGTTTCTACAAATTAAACGAAATTAATTTTATTTTATTAGTAAAGTGTAAAATATAAAATAAAATTAAATTAAAAAAATACTTAATAAAAAAGTAAAAAAACATAGGTTCTTAAAAATTTAATTAAATTTAAAAAAAAGTATTTTTTGAACGAAATCTAAAAAGTGAAGGAAAATTTAATTAAAAAAGAGAAAAATTAAAAAGAAATTTAATTAAACAAAAAAATAATAATAATTAAAAAAATCGTTGTTTCTAAAAACTAACTGAAATTAAAAAAGTTTCCTTCTATTAAACAATTAAATCTAAATAAATGAAGTAAAAAATCTTTGTTTCTAAAAGCTAAATGAAATTCCAAAAAGCCCGTTTCTCTTAAAACAACAAAAACTAAAAATTGTATTTGAAGAAATAAAATGAAATAAGTTTAATTTCATGAAACTAAATTTAAAAAATTTTCTTTTTAAGACTATGAAGTCTAAAAATTAAAAGAAAAGTAAATTAAAAAATAAACCAATAAAAAAATAAAAAAAATAAAGCAAGTTAAAAAAAAATTTTTTTTTAAACAAAATCTAATAATTAAAACACGAAAAAATTAAAACATTTCGCTAGCCGAGAACTCGACCCCGAATCACTCGAATGGAACAGTGGTGCCTTGTCACTCGGCAATTACGACTGCTGGAGCAGCGCGAGCAAAGTAATATACAAGTGCTTGCACTCAAATGAGCTTTCCACCATGAAAATTGGCAAGGGAGCTTCTGTTTTAAAAACTTTCGTGTCAAAATAATCAAAGTCTTTCTAACGATTTATCTTGCCTACTGTCTTTCAGTCTTACAAAAGACTTCCCGGAATTTCCCAGAAAATTTCAGAAGATTTTCATTGGGAAATGTGTGGGAGTTGTGATCCCAGCAGTAGCTGCAGAAAATGTTCGTTCAAAGCAAATGGTAAAACTTTAAATTTTAACTCTTATCACAACATTATTATTATTTTTTTGTAGCACACATGAGTAGTCCACTTGCAAAGTCGCTATGTAAGTAGCTATCATACTTATGTATTTATAAACATTCAAAAGTCTCTATCTTCTGATGAACTTAGAAAACTGCTTTAGGTCGTATAGACTGTTAATGTTATGTTGGTATAATGTTATTAGGCTCTTGGTTATTCAAATTTTCAGGTAATAAAAAGATATTCAATTTAGATGTTAGTTGTTGTCGCAGTCGTTTTTTTTTTTTAATTTATGGCTTATTATTGTGTAATCACATGACGCTGTTTGCAAGTAGACTACTCACATATGGAGTGCTAAAATATTAAAGATAAAGATAAAATTAAAAATTAACCAGGACCAGGGTGCGAACCTATCACAATAATCGTCTTTTGTTCTTCAAAAGATGTGGCCATTTTACATACCCTTGTGACAAACCAAATCTGAGCTTAGTTACAATCCGCAATGAGGGCAATTGTTAGTGATTCAAAATAATTTTGAAAATATTATTAAATAAATTTTGTTTGATTGCATCTATAAGGACTACAAATGCTAAATTTGTATTTCATTTAACTAAGCATTAATTAAAATCGAATACTTTACTAATTGATTTTGCATATATTTATGTAGTAGTTCTGATTAAAATTGCATGTATTTGCGTGTCACGACGACTATGAGTGGCTAAGTGATTTATCTACACTTACGACCATGTATGTATGTATGTACATTGTATGTGGGTACTTATATACACACATACATACATGTTCCAAGATGTGCAATTGTGCAACTGTAGTAGTGGCAGCCACGCGCACTTTGAAACTTGCCACATTTGCTTGCAGCAAACCTTACGGCCCACCACTACAGCTTTGGCGAATTATTCTATTGGACTATTTATAATAAATTTTTTCTTTTATTGTCTTCATTTCAATGACCGCCAAGACAATGAACAGTGCTTTTAACAGTGCGGCTGACAGTCTGGCCCGGAAGGATCGACCACCGCCGCACAAATACAACAAATATTCCCTGGCAACAATTGGCAGCTGCTCAAAGCGATTGACGGTCATTTTTGGTCATACATTTGTTACAAAAAGTACTAATAATAATAAAAATTAAAACTAGACATAATAATAATAATAATAATGAAGATGAAAATATTCACAAAAATGTAGGTGAACGAAGAATGGTAAACCATTGTTGGACCAGCGTAAAAATGTTACTATCAAACAGAAAAAATGTTGACTTACACATAGACATACATAAATATATACGTATAGTACATATACGACAATAATAAATAGCAATATTATTTTTTACTCAATCCATACATACCAGATGAATTATGCCCGCCGCTGTTAACCATACAGATATAAAAATTGATACTAGTTGAGCCAAGCGTATCGAGCTCGATGTTTTTAGAACGTTTAAATATTGTAAAATATCCGGTACAGTCATGAGACGTAACGCTCGAAGAAATCGAAGACCTGTGACGAGGTGCATGTGAAGAAGCATTGCAACAACCCATTTATGAAGCGCCAATTGAAGTTGTTTTTTGTTTTTTTTACAAATACATTTTTTTTTTTTGGAGTAAAATCCATTGCATGCAGCCATTTCGATCAGCCAACACGTACATGCGTGCGCGTGTGTATGTAAGTGTTGATGGGTGGGTGTGTTGATATTTGTTTAATTTATTTTTGTTTTTGTTTTGGTTTTTGTTTTTGAAGTGAAGTATTTATTTTACAGATGTTGTGCGCAGTCGTGTGCGTGTTGTGTTGCATAAACATGAAGAGTAGAAAAGGAAAAACGTTAAATACTTACATACATACAATACATATTGCTTTTGATTTATAATTTAGAATTTATTAGTATATTTTATGTTAAGCCAATATTTTTGCGCAAATCTTGCTTACCGATCCATGTCCGATCTAAATATATTGATACAAAGGACGGGGGTATTGTAAAATAATCTACAAAACTGTACATTTCTAACATAAACCAAAGTTTATCGGACGCCGCTATGAACTGGAAATGTAAAGAAAAGAGAGAGATACATAAGAAATCGATACGATACGATAGTATATAGTATGTCAAATGATTAAAAGCTAGGGATTTGATTGCAGATATTTACAAAAGTTAATTGTTAAAGCTGTGTTTATGAAGATTTTTTAAGTGGCTAATGAACTCTCATTTAATTTGTTTATTTGGCCACAAACCACCCGATCACAACTAACTAACTATCTCTTCAAATACCCGCTCACATCGGCTCATCTAACCAACATCTACTTACGGTCCAGACACTTCGGATTTGGCCTTTCCTGGCCGTTCCGTTGGATTGAGAACGACCATCGTTCGATTTTCCTTTTATTTTTGAAGTAATTCTTTGCAGTGGAAAATTTTCGGATATCGACACCTGGGCTGAAGATCGTCTAACCTCGGCAACCAGTTCGAAAATGCCTTACCTAAGAAAACTTTTGCAAGAACGCCCTACTTCAGAATTTGACTGAAGAATGCCTTATTTCAAAATTTAATTGAAAACCACCCTATCTCAGAATTTGGTGCTCTTGAAAAGTTTTATCAGATAGGGTGTTTTCGAAATGGGCTGCCGGGATAGGTCGATCATTCACTCAGGTACCGATAGAAAGTTAATAAAAATGTTCTAGTTTCTCTTAAAAAAAAAAAAATATTTAAAACTTTTATACTCTGATATATAAATTACCTAGCAGGGAGAAAATCCAGTTTACTCGATTTCAAAAAACCCACCGTAAATTTTAAGTAAAAACCTGTTGAAATCGGTTAAAAAAAAACAGTCAGTCACCCTACCATTAGTAATAGCGTCGTATCTCACCGCTTGAACAGTTGGCGATTCCACCAACAAAAAGCCGGTTTCTTGTTTTCTTGTTGCAGAGACTTTTGCATTTTGTTTCAGCTAGAACTTAATCTGTCTAAATATTTTGTACCAGTTTAAAAACAACAGCTCAACAATTAACTTATTATTTTCATATAGAGGGCTTACATTCAATACCCTCTATCTGCACTTTTCACACAAAAATGAGATTCTGATAAAAAAAAATCCACCTAAAACTTAACTGTCATCGGTGATATTAAATGCTGAACTTGTAAAGCGCTTGACAGGCGAATTTACCAATAAATTGCAAAGTCAGAATTAACATCAGTGATGAGAGGTAAGTCCCAAATGAGTTCTAACATCACACAAAGTAATTTTTATGAAAATTTACAGGTTGAGGTTATTGAATATATGCCCTCGATATTTTTATGTACTATAAATCAAATATTTAAGAGAAGTCTATGCAATAAAGTTGGGATTCAGGCAAACGAAAATCACTCATACATAAATAAAAACCGAAAAATCAACTTACTCGTATAAAAAAGTAAACCATAAAAAATATATTGAATGCGAGATCGATTTGTTGAGTAATGTTATTACTCCATTTTTGACATCTTTCGACTTCTTCGCTAGATGCGTCCACGAAGTAAATAATGAGTGATGCAATGCTGAGTATAAATACAAGCACGACCTGTAAATAAAGAAAGCAAACCAAAAACTTTATTAA